TCCCAACAAGATTGACAACGAGATCATAGACTCCATCTTCCGAATGAACTCTGGCGGAGATGATGACAGACGGGAGATCATCAGCGCTGCGGCTGGACACGAGATATACACCTCATGCGAGGGAGGTGTCACCCTGGGTGGCGCAACAGTCAACGTGAAGTTTGTTAAAACCCTCCTGGCCCCGTGCCTAAATTGGGAAGCAGTTCTGAGGTCCGTGTTTGTGTTGCTTACCAGGTTCCATTGATCGCCATTTGGCTCAAGACACAATTGAGGTTCAAGATCTTATGTGTAGCTGCGTTCACACGTGATCGGCATTGAGAGCGGAAAACACTTCGCTTGCGCTGCATTTGTCAGGACCACTGTTGTAACTATTATTCCTTCTCCCTTACAACATTTACACGGGTTCGGCTATAACGGCTTTGACCGTATACACCTTTCTACGTGGTTGGTATTACAGCTGGAGGGTTCGGTGCGCAGCGTCCCACGGGACGTCGCCTTGCCGTCTCTTGACAGGTTATCAGCCGTATCGACAAGCTCTACACTGGACAGAGAGACAGCTGGTTTATTGCGGGTACAGGGACAATACAGGAACAATAACCTACGCAGTACAATGGCATCTTCAGCGAGCCCAAGTACTGCAACTTTTGGGAACAGCAGCTCAGAGGGATCCAATGGATTGATGGCTCTTCCTGCGGTGATGGATATGATCGCAGATTCACAGGACGAACCTGGGAGCGGAGGTTCCGCGCTATTCAGCGACATATCCACTCCCACAAGATCATGGAAGCAGATCGATGTTCATCAGGAGTCGAAGCAAAGAGAATCCCCGCCGAGAAGATCGTCATCTTCGCCTGCGATACCACGGACGTCGCAGAAGGGCGTGAGGTCAACATCAAAAGGTGGGAGATCCAAATCACCCACGAGCGCCGAGTTTCGCACGGCAATCAAAGAGAAGAACAAGATGGAGATGGAGATCGGGGAGTATCAAAAGACACTTGATGAAATGTCGGCAGCGATGGCGAATCTTCATCAAGAAGACTATGGGAGCACCATCCGGATCCAGGAGCTGGAAAGACGATGCGAGATTGCCAGCAAGCAGTCGGGACATCTAGTGAGTCACCACCAACACCACATGGCTGAGGCATGGCGCAAGTTTGAGGAGGAAGCCCAACAGATGCGCAAGGTGGAAATGAACGCATATCAGTACGGGGAAAAGAAAGACATGGAGTCGAATGTTATAATACAACAGATGAGACAAGCTGAAGGAACTATAATGGAGCAGAAGCGGGAGATTGCAGTGATGAAATCCTACATGGCAAGCGAGAAGTCGGCCGCGCAGGAATCAGCTATACATGCAAATCAGATACACCGTGAAGCTTCGCAACAAATATCAGTTTATCAGCAACAGATCAGAGGCATCGAATCGTCTACATCTATCGAGAAGTTCAACGAGGAGGAGATGGTCCAAAGCCTAAATCACAGTTGGAGCATGCACTCGTCAAACGCCCCGAGACGTACTCTATGGAGGACTCCAGGGAACAGCTGATGGCGAGACTGAACGACGTTACAGTATTCGCGGAACAAGAATCAAAGAGAGCAGATTGCTTGCTTCGCGAGAAGGAAGAGATCGTCAAACAGTATGAATCCGACGTGTCGATGAAGGACCAGATGATTGCTATCGAGGGTGGTCATCGTCAAGATGCGATCTTGGAGTTAGCCCAGGTCAAAGAAGCAAAACAAGAAGAACGGTGCACGATGGACGAGAAGTCGAAGGAGGCCGAGTACTGGAGATTGACAGCTAAGGGAGTGTATGATGAGTACCTCGAGGAGATGCACGAACTTCAGGGACAACTGAAGGACCGGGAGGCGACACTCAAGCAAGAAGAGAGTTTTGTTCGTCAACTCGATGCTGACAATGAGGAACTACGTGCACTCAAGAAGCTGGAGACACAGGAAGCCTCTAGCAGTAAAGATGGACATCGTGAACGAGCAGTAGTGAAACGCGCTGAGGGAGGACCCCAAGCTAATTCAACTAGGGTAGACAAGAGGGTGACTGGGTTATTCCCGTCATCGTCGTCGAATCTGACCCCTAATTCGTCACTAATGCCAGGTTCGATTCTCTTTCCGTCTTTTGGTGATCCAATGATCGATGTACACCTATCCCAGATGCAAGGGGTTGTTGGGCATGTCCCACAATCCGCTACTACAACTGGTGGTGGTGATGGAGGGGGAAACAACGGTACTACACCCCCATTGGATTACGGTGGATTCTCGCCCAATGGAAATGGACAAGGGGCAGGTCGACGTCAGTTGAGCCTCACAGGTGGCGGAGGAGGACCTCCGGATGACCCACCCGATGATGAGGACGAGGATGACGACGACGAAGAGGATGAAGAAGACGAGGAAGAAGAAGAGGAAGAAGATGACAATCGGACACGGAGGAGGCGCAGAAGATCGAGGGATGATCGAGAAATCAAGAACGAAAGACCGAGGATTTCGAGGAAAGAAGCCGAGAGGGTGTCTATTCCTGCTTGGCCAAAGATCCATCAACTCGATAACTGGAAGATGCAACTGCTGATGAATGTTCTGAGCGCATGCGCAGATCCAGATACTGACACATGGACGAAATGGTTGGAACAGGCTCTTGGGTTAAACCCAGACCTGAATGTGCTGAGCGACTCCGGCGGCGACAGATTTGCTACGATAGATATCAAGATGGCCATGGGCATGCAGAACATGTTGAAACAAGCACCTGACGAAGCCAAAGACGTGTACCTCGACGCTACTCGACACTCGGAACTACGACATCAACAAGGGGTGATCGTGAAGGGACGAGAGTTGGTGGCATTGGTTATGCAATCATTCAGGACATCTGATAGAACGGATCTTGTCTACCACATCGAGCACCTATTCAACCTTGATTTTCCTGGAGACAAGAATTTGGTTATATTCAGGAACAAGTGGTATGATTTGTTGCTAAAGATGAGGAGCGAAGACAGACCCAGCAAGTTGGCTCTCAGAGATATTCTCTACAGGAAGATCAAAGGGAGCAAGAAGATGGAGTTCGGCCTCAACGCCTACCATAGACTGCCGGACAAGCATCCTCAAAAGACGTACGAATTCTTGTTGGCATTGATCGACCATCAGATCAAGGCGGATCGGGAGGACCTGATGCTTGACAGGAAGGAGAGATCGGTCAAGTCGATGATGAAGTCGGGCGGCAGAGATGCAGCCCCAGCCACTGGCAAACAGGAGAACCAGGGTGGCAAAGGCAGAAAGGGGAAACCCGGTGGACCTGATGCTGCTCCTGTACTCCCAAAGGCCAAAGCAAAGGGCCACGCTGGCAAGAACGGCAAGCCCGACGGTGCCAGCGACAGAGGCAAGAGTCCGGGCGGAGGCAAAGATAACCCATGTTGGTATCACTTCAAATCGGCGAAGGGATGCGTAAAAGGGAATGAATGCACATTTTCCCACAGCAAGAAGACGGAGCACAAGCTGGAGAACATGTCCAAAGGGAAAGGAAAAGGTAAGTCCAAATCCAGATCATCGTCACCAAAGAGGGATGATGGAGCATGCTTCGCGTTCCAGAAGGGAAAGTGCGACAGAGGGAGTGCTTGCAAGTATAGGCACGAGCTCATCAAGAACAATTCAGCTCCGGCAACGTCAAGCGACAAGGCACAGGCCAAGTCGAAAGCTGCTGCCAAGGCCGCAGCGCCAGCTATTGCAAGAAGGGCCGTCGCGATGCCTGCGATAGTCCTGAAGCAATCGGCTCCTGCGGGAAAGGTCAGCTTCAAGAAGGACGTTGACCAGGTCGAACCGGATGAAGCCGAGACTGTCTACCACGAGCATGATGACGACGCGATGAGCGAATCATCAAGATGGTCTGGCGAGTCCGAGATCCCCGAGAAAATGGTGTGGTTCAAGGAAGTACTCGATGTCGACGAGAATGGAGAGATCACCTATCTCGAAGACGAGAGAAGGCAATGGGAACGAAAAGGGGAATGGTACGGCTATGAGGACAATGAGAATGAGCCTTATGAGTACGTGTACGTCGACGAGAAGAAGTTCAAGAGCAGTGATCATCGAGAATTATCAGCCTATCAACCTGGAGTTGTATACGGACCGTAAAACTGGTCGCTGACCAAATTCTTCGGTCTGACCAAAACAGCCGTGCTGGTCCGACAAGACGGATCATTTGACCAAAAAAAAGTGGTCGAACCAACCCAGCTTAAGCCTTTCTGCGCACACGCTTAAGGCACATCGCATTTTTTCTTCGATTCGCTTGCAGATTGTGAATAGTGGTTGGTCATATGGTTTAGATTTTTGTTGAACAATTTTGATTTTTGTTCACTTGACTGGCCTAGGTGCTTGGACGTTTATTTGATTGTCGCTTTTAGTTTCTTTGTGCTGTCGTTTCTTTGTTGCGTGTTTGCCTGACTATTTGCTTGTGTTTGTCTGTCTTGTTGTTTGTTTGGTTTGATTGCTTTGGTTTGCTTTCTTGTGTTTTTTCTGCCTTGCTGTTTTTTGTTTCATTTGTTTTGGTTTGCCTTCTTGTGCTTTTTTGCGCACATGTGCCTTGTTTTGTCTCTCTGTCGACATGTTTGCTTGTGTTTTTGCATGTGTGTTTGCCAAACAACACTTTAAATTTGAATGGCTGTTCTCGACCTGAGTCGCGTTGCGATACTGCAATATGTTTTCTGGGTTTCATTGCATTGTGTTCCCCTGAAAAAACGAAGTCGCGTTGTTTGATTTGTGGTCCACCCAAGGGTCATTATATTTTGGGTCGGGCCCCTTTTGTTTTAGATGCCCCCCGCATGAATCTCAACTGGTTGGTCCGGGGATCGAAAACTTGCTGGTCGTTTCCGTGCAACTGTTTGCGCCCGTGATCGTGCGGCCAGCTTGCAGTTTCAACTCGCCCGAGCGTTCGCTCGCCCATCTTTGCCCGAGCGGTTTGGGCGTGCAATCATATGTTGATGTGGCAATCTCAGACACAACCGCACGTAAGACTCATGCCGCGCGAAGAGATGGCGGCGTCGGACGCCCTTGTGGCGAAGATGCTGGAATCATGGTTGGGCCTGGGCCCGGACATCAAGCAGGCGCCGCGTGCCAACACATTGTTTTGAGCCACACACCCAAACCCATCTGATCAGGCCGATTTAGTGGCAGGCATGGATGAAATGCCCGCGAGCTCGGACACAGACGAGACAGTCAAGGTGCCACAACCATGCATGCAGGAGTTTCCGTTTTTGTCCATATCTGATTGGCGCATTGATTGAGGAACGGATGAGCTCCATGAACAAGGCCCTTCTGGCTGCGCCGTTTGGCTGCCTTGGCTGCCCGACGCGTTTCGAAGAGAACAGCCGAGCATGCTCAGGACATTGCCGGTGCTTGAGGAGACAGGCTTCGTGTGGGCCGTCTCTGACTTCGAGAAGTGCATCCTGGCGATGTTCAAGGACTGAGGGATGTTTGATCGATTTGCCACATGTCGACCTGGGTTGTGCTGAGCACTGCATGGTTGGAAACATTGCGCCACACATTTTGGTTCAAGTGGATGATCATGAACATCATTCCGGTCACGTCATGGTGGGCCGTCGGCGGCGATGCTGGGCCTTTGTGTGTGGGTGTGGACATGCCGCCGATCTTCGCCTCGTCGCAGAACCTGGCTTTTGCGGCTCAAGCCCCTTGCCACTAAGTTTTCAAATGTTCCTTGATCATTGATGTTGTTGTCTTTTTGAAGTTAGTTTTTGAGCGCTTGGGATCTAGGCGTACTACACCACGGCTCAGCAGGGCTACGCGAGCTACATGGCCCCGGGGCACGCAGCTCAACAGGGCTACCCGACGAGCTACATGGCCCCGGCCCACGCAGCTGAACAGGGCTTCGCGACGAGCTACATGGCCCTGAACACGGCGCAGCAGGCTTCCAGCCCGTGGGTCGTGGACGAAGGTGGTGTGGTGCGAAGCGGCCCGTGCATCATGAACTCACCGGCGGACGCTTGATCATCGAAACGCGGGTCCTTGCTTTCAGATGTTTCCAGATGTTTGTTTTCAGATGTTGTTTTCCGGTGTCCAGTGTTTTCAGATTTTCAGATGTTTGTGTTCAGATGTTTTCAGTGTTTGTTTTCGGATGTTTCCAGACGATTGTTTCCAGATGCTTGTTCTCAGATGCCTAGATGATTGTTTTCAAGTGTTTGCGGATGTTCGTTAATATTCACTGATGTTTGCATTCTGAAGTCACGGGGGACCAGGTGATGTCTGCAGCGCCACCGTCGGCCACCCGCTCCTGGCCCACGCCAGCGCCTGTGCCTGCATCAATCGTCATGCATTATCGTGTGTAGCTGATGGCCGGTCGGGGATGGTTGACCTAGCTTCCAGTTTCCCTCGATCTCACTCGCTCACTCACTCACTCACTCACTCACTCACTCACTCACTCACTCACTCACTCACTCACTCACTCACTCACTCACTCACTCACTCACTCACTCACTCACTCACTCACTCACTCACTCACTCACTCACTCACCACTCACTCACTCACTCACTCACTCACTCACTCACTCACTCACTCACTCACTCACTCACTCACTCACTCACTCACTCACTCACTCACTCACTCACACATGCATAACACTTACTCCCTCGTGACCCCCTCACTCACCTCCCTCCTTCAATCATAGCGGATCCCGGACTCGCCTCACCTCACCTCTCCTTGCCTCACCTCACTCACTCTCACTCACTCACTCACTTCTCACTCACTCACTCTCACTCACTCACTCGCTCGCTCACTTGCTCGCTCACTCATTCACTCGACATCACCCACTCAACTTGCCAAGGCCACGTCCTGGCGTGACACGCCGCTTTCTTTGCCGCCGCCTTTGTCGCCGATCCTGCGCCCTGTCACCTCGGCCTCTGCTGCTACTCATGCATATTGGGCGGTTGTCGGCTTTCAGTTGTTGTTTGTGTTTTTTTGGTCAAGCGCTCTTTTCTTATCGGTGCGTCTGACTATAAGGTTTGCTCGGGGACTCCCTTGCGAAGCTCCAGTGCGTCGCACACGGCGACAGAGATGCCGAGCACGGTGAGATCGCGGACACCGGCTCGGGAGGACCGAAGCTTCTTTTACCGCATGTTTTTCCACCCTTGCTGCTGTTGCCTTTTGGTTGCCCTCCCCTGCAGGAGGAAATGCATCAGGCGCCGATCCGTGTGTTGAGGGCCACGCCGAAGTACGGGTGGCCTCCGAAGCCTCCGCAAAGCTGGGGGTAGGCGACGCGTGCTCAGAGTATAAAGGCCGCCTCATGACCGCGCATGCAGCTTGCATTGATTCATTTGTTTGCGGTTTGCGGCGCTGTCTTGGCAGGACACATGCGACCAGAGCTTGGCTAGAGCGCAGGGGCTCGTGCTCAAGTCGATGGCGCTGGGCTTACACTTGCGTGCTTGGGCCGGCGTCCGTCGTTCCGTGCGTGAGGCCCTTCACATCGTTCGGCTGAAGAAGCGTGCTCCGACATCGAAGAAGTCGAGGGCCTGGGTTCAGCCGCTCAAGGCAAGGGATGTTCGTCGCTCGCTCGCTCGCTTGTTTGCTCCCTCACTCGATCCTCGCTCCTTCACTCTCGCTCGCTCGCTCGCTCGCTCGCTCACTCACTCACTCACTCACTCACTCACTCACTCGTGCACTCACTCACTCACTCACTCACTCACTCACTCACTCACTCACTCACTCACTCACTCACTCACTCACTCACTCACTCACTCACTCACTCACTCACTCACTCACTCACTCACTCACTCACTCACTCACTCACTCACTCACTCACTCACTCACTCACTCACTCACTCACTCACTCACTCACTCTTCACTCACTCACTCACTCACTCACTCACTCACTCACTCACTCACTCACTCACTCACTCACTCACTCACTCACTCACTCACTCACTCACTTCACTCACTCACTCACTCACTCACTCACTCACTCACTCACTCACTCACTCACTCACTCACTCACTCACTCACTCACTCACTCACTCTCACTCCACTCACTCCACTCACTCCACTCACTCCACTCACTCCACTCACTCCACTCACTCCACTCACTCCACTCACTCCACTCACTCCACTCACTCCACTCACTCCACTCACTCCACTCACTCCACTCACTCCACTCACTCCACTCACTCCACTCACTCTCACTCACTCCACTCACTCCACTCACTCACTCCACTCACTCCACTCACTCCACTCACTCCACTCACTCCACTCACTCCACTCACTCCACTCACTCCACTCACTCCACTCACTCACTCCACTCACTCCACTCACTCCACTCACTCCACTCACTCCACTCACTCCACTCACTCACTCCACTCACTCCACTCACTCCACTCACTCCACTCACTCCACTCACTCCACTCACTCCACTCACTCCACTCACTCCACTCACTCTCACTCCACTCACTCCACTCACTCCACTCACTCCACTCACTCCACTCACTCCACTCACTCCACTCACTCCACTCACTCACTCACTCACTCACTCACTCACTCACTCACTCACCCACTCACTCACTCACTCACTCACTCACTCACTCACTCACTCACTCACTCACTCACTCCACTCACTCACCCACCCACTCACTCACTCAGTCACTCACTCACTCACTCACCACTCACTCACTCACTCAATCACTCACTCACTCACTCACTCACTCACTCACTCACTCACTCACTCACTCACTCACTCACTCACTCACTCACTCACTCACTCACTCACTCACTCACTCTCGCTCGCTCACTCACTCACTCACTCACTCACTCACTCACTCGATCACCCACCCACTCACTGACTCACTCACTCACTCACTTGCTTATGCGCTCACTCTCCCATTTGTCGCGCGAGCGAGTGCTGGCCGGCAGGACTTGGTTGGGCCAAAGCTGTCCAACAAGAAGTTCACGAGATCACCCAAAGGCAGGGCCGGGCTCACATGTGACCCCGTTCATTTGTTGTTGCCAGGGGGTGATGACGGAGAAACACACGCTGCTTATGATCCAATTCCTTCGACGCCAACTCCTCGTTGCTTGGGGAATGTGTTGGAGGAACTCGAGAAGAACCCACCGATGCCCTTTGATCATCGGGAACAATATCGACCCCAAATGAAAGCGAAACTCGATGCCAAGAAAAACCCAGGCTCATCGAACGGGCATGGGTCCAGACATGTCATATTTGGCTCCAGGCCCCTTGGCTGGCGAAGATGATGCAGAGGCGGGCAGTTGTGTCGCATTCAAGGAAGCAGCTGGTGGAGTTGTCGTGGCAATTGGGCTGCCGTTCGCTGAGTGAGTGGTTTTCACCATTTTGTAAGGGTTTCATTCGATCGCAAGATGCTTGGCGTTTGCATGCTTTTTTGGCATGTCAGGCGCGAAACGAGCCGGAGCAGACAGATAAGCGTGTGGGCGGGAACGACGAGGCGCCATTAGATGTTCTTTTGATTTGAACATGTTTTGCAAACCTATCTTAAGAGACATTCGCCACGCAAACTGCCAAGGGCGAGGCTGGGCCGGATGCGGACAAAGCAGAGGCTGGAGCCTGGTTTCAGATTCTGTTTTTCGTTCCTTCTGATCGCAATATGCTTGGCGTTTTCATGTTCTTTTGGCATGTCAGGTGTGCAACGCGCCGGAGCAGACAGATAAGCGTGTGGGGGGATTCGACGAGGCGCCATTAGATGTTCTTTTGATTTGAACATGATTTGCAAAGCCTATCTTAAGAGACATTCGCCACGCAAACTGCCAAGGACGAGGCTGGGCCGGATGCAGACCAAGCAGAGGCTGGGGCCTGGTTTCGTTCCTTCTGCATCATTCCCTTTTTACCAAATCCTGTATGCTTTACACTTGCGGCGCGTAAGCCAATCACCGTTTCTTGCACTCTCCATTGGTCAGTACTCACTCGCTGCGCCAGATTGGCGGAGACGCTCATGAGGAGGAAGACTCCGTTGAAAGCGTCGAGGCGACTGCTGCAAAGCCGTTTGACGCTTCTGACATCAAGTCAGGTGGATGCGGACGGCCTGGGCCCAGCTCGACCGCATGAGGGTCGCCAGAAGGTCCAGATCTTAGATGTTCTAGGCTGTCACGACACAAAGTTTGCTGCTGGAGGGTATTGCAGAAGGAGGTCCTGCCAATCTTGAGGTGATGCGCTTAGAAGCTTGAGCACATTCGCGCAGACATGGCTGAGCTGCAAAGATGGCGCTCAGGCATCTGATGGCACAGCGAAGCCCGGCGGCGACATGAAGGCTTGCTGTGTGTGCCAGCTTAGATCCGCTGATCGTCGCATCCGATTTCAGGCTGATGGCGTTGCTGAACCAGGCCCTGCACGTGTCAAGAAAGAGCGCAAGGACTGCTGCTCAAGTGTTTGATGTTGCTGGCCGGGTTTTGTGGGCATTGTCAGTGACGGATTTTTGCGAAGGCCCCAAA